AATATAAAATGAGACATACTTTTTTTACTAAATCTATGTCCAAAAATTAAAGAAAATTATTTAAATATTTCAATTGAGAATTAATATATTTTTAGAGACTAGAGTCATCAATTCATATGTTTTGGGACAATTATAAATTATAATTAATAATAATAATCAACAATTCAACATAATAAACAATTTCATTAAATAGAAAATTGAAATTTATAAAAACAAATTATTCAAAAGGTCTCACAAATTACACATAAATCTAATTTTCAAATTTATCTAATTATTTAGTTCATAATTTAAAAAGGAAACAAAATTATTTGGAAATACCTGGTGCTCGACTGGTCGGTGCTGCTCGGCGGCGACGCGGCGGGCGGTGCTGCTGTTCAGTTGTTCGGCTGTTCCGGCGTTCGGCAATCGGTAGAATCAACTCCTCGGCCCCTCTTCTCGATTTCTGCAAAAGCCAAAGGGAAGGGGAAATTATATTTAATTTTTGGGGATTTGGACAATTGGTGAATTGGGCCACTTTTGGATTGGGTCTTTAGCCTATTTAATTGTTTTGGGCCAAACTGGGGGCAGATTTTTTTTAGTGGGAGCAATTATATATAAACATTAAAAATATACATACATACATACATACATACATACATACATACATACATACATATATATATATATATATATATATATATATATATATATATATATATATATATATATATATATTAAAAAAATTCATTGGGGGCAGCTGTCCCCATATCCTATGTTGTAGATCCGCCCATGATCATAGGGAGCCATGAAGCAGAGGCATCCATTGGATGGGGCGAGACCGATTATGTGTTTCAAAGAAGTTTGGCAGACTCGATTTCAACAACTTCCATGCACTCAATCTCGATCTGTACACTTTAGATTTCATTTATTTTTCTGAGTTCAAAAATGCGATATGTTTTAAAGCCGGACTTATGTGGAAAACAACCCGAAATTCAAACATATAAACTACCTCTTCCGGAATGAGAATTTCACCCAAACCAACATTCGTTTCCCCCCCACCCCAAATATTTCCAGGATTTTCCTTAATCAACCAATATTCCCCTCCCATCATCCTTATCACACACACCGCCTTATCCCTACCCTATAAACTGTTGGAAATTTTTAAATAAATTGGACTTTTTTGGACATAAATTCGGTAGGGTCCACAAAATTATTTTCCGAAATAATTATGGACGTTTAATCTCGTAAGTAAGACGAACGTCTTGACATATTACACACCATAAATTGTGCTCGGGTGAATGAGAAATTAATTCTCAAAGTTGAATATGAGGGAAGAGTAAAAACCCTTATCCCACACCGGTTTTGGAACCTTTCATATTCTCATATTTAAGCTTAGGCTTTTAATTGAGATTATGAAAGGAACAAGAAGAGGACTCCTCGCACGCGTCGTGTCGGGTCGGGCTTGCGTCTGTGGCGGGGCTAACTTTTTACGAGACCGAAACAAACGCGCGTGTACACTTCATTAATAACGAAGTGTACAGAGTTAAAGCATGCATGCACTCACATTTGAAGAGTCACCAGACACTTCGTAATGTACGACAGTCCAGCGAGGAGTCCAAAATCCTCTCCTATATAAGGAGGGCTTGGCTGCAAGGATGACACACTCGAAACAACTCTCTCTCTCTCTCTCTGCGTCATATAAGTTTTACGACTATCTCCCATTTCTGATCATCTTCTCCGGCGATAACTTTCCATCATTCTCATTTGCCGGTGCTTTGTTCTACCGCTCTAGACCTAGCACGCTGCGGTTTTATCCTGGGAGGAGATTGCCCACGTTTGCCAGTGCGGGAGGCAGGGAATACTACCTTAAGGAAAGCTCCGCCGACTCCGCTTTCCTTACCTACGCTTTCAGAAACATCTCCGGCAACCCGCTATTTTTCATCTGACGCAGAGTCCGTTCGTGTTCTTGCATCCGTTTGAGCTCCCAAAGAACTCCATTTTTTTCCTTTCTTTTAATTTTTGTTGTAAATCCGAACGTTTTATAAGTTCGGATCATCTTATTTATTTTTCCCGTTGTATTAATCAACATAAACATGCAACCACCCCTCTCTCATCACCCTTGGAGTGTAATTAGTGTTAGAGAGTGTGTGATGGCCTAATCCTTGCATGTTTGTGAATAAAAGGAGACTTAGAGTCTCTCTTTGATCACCCTAAAACATACTCAAAAATTCCTGCAAGTTCCCCCTTCATCTCCCACAACAATTTACTTGTTTTATACTCTAGAACTATTTGTGACGTTGATGTTTAAATCATGGAACTATTATTATTAAAATATTTTCTTCAATTTATAGATGTTATTTTATCAATTTTCCAACACTTCGGTCCGCTAAACCACGTGATTCGAGTTACGCGAATCGGGGTGTTACAACTTGGTGTCTCCAACGGAGCCTTCATCTTGCAGGGGCGTATTAAGGATAATACTTCACATATTATATTTGACTTATTCATATGTATATCCGTTTGTTTATTTTAGCTAATATATAGCTTATCCCTTGTTTCTAGGATAATACTTCACATATTATATTTGACTTATTCATATGTATATCCGTTTGTTTATTTTAGCTAATATATAGCTTATCCCTTGTTTCTAGGATTGCCAGTAGAAATCATTGTTTATCCACCCACTGTATTTTCTTTATAAACACTTCATGCCATGTAATTAATAAATCATCAAGCGTTCAACTTATATAGAAATAACGTTCAAATCCGATTTCATTTTCATCATCATTTAAGTTATTGTGTTCATCTGATATAAGCTTTTCTATTATAGCTAGATTGTGGTGGTTTGTTTCCTAAAGATCATTTGCTAAGGAGTTGGATTCTCCTTTTCAAGATTCAATGTTCTTTACCTTTAGCTTTAACCCAGAACCATTGGATGAACAAGAAATTCCATATTCAATAGGTTATGGCATGGAGGGTAGCTCTGAACTTGGTAAATCTAGTGAATCACAAGGATCTCTTGAGACACAACATCAAAATGTATTAAGCACAAGACACAATGAAGTTGCTAATAAAAATTTTATGATTGCTTAAGAACACCTTAAGGTTATAAAAGGACAAGTTGGCATAGCTTAAAGGGAGCTCTAGATTCTCCAACAAAGCAAGCCTCGACAATACACTAAAAAAGACGTGTATTTTGAGTAGAAACATTTTGGTGTTTTGAGTGAGATGCGAATGACGTGCAATCGTTTCTTGTGTAGATATGAGAGAGCTAGGAGAATATATATTTTGTATTCTTACCAAAGACCGTCTTGAAATTTTATTTAACTTGATGGAAGGTAGACCTGGCAAAACTGACCCGGACTCGATAACCCGAACCGAATAACCCGGAAGCAAACCCGATTTGACCCGAAAACTGAAGAACCGAAATAGACCCGAACACCCGAAATGATCCGAACTGAACACGAACCGAATGTATTCAGACCCGATTCAGATCCGAATCCGATTTAGCCCGAACCGATTAAACTCGAATCGATAAAACCCGAACCTGGTTAAACCTGAAACCGATTAGACCCGAAATTGATTAAATTTTATGTACGTCCGCGTTAAATAATAAAATAACTACGGAGTATATCATAAATTGATTAAATTTATTATGTGATATTATTGATTTATTAGTAAATATTTAAAATATATCTGAACTAATATAAACCTAAATCGATACAAACCCGAATCGATATAAACTCGAATCGATACAAACCCGAACCGATACAAACCCGAACCGATATAAACCCGATCCGATACAAACCCGAACCGATACGAACCCGAACTGAAACCGAACTGAAACCGAAAACTAGTCAACCCAAAATAAACCTGGAACCGAACTGACCCGACCTGAATCGATTATAACATATATATCCGAATGAGACCCGAACCGAAAAGACTCGAATCGGAACCGAACTAATTGACCCGATTGCCAGGTCTAATGGAAGGGACTGGTATGGTCCAGGATATATGTTTTAAGTATTTGCTAAATTATTTTGTAATGACTTTTGGGCATACGCATGATTTTATCTTTGATGTTTTGTTTTGCCCTTAAGAATATGATTCATGCATTTATTTTTTTTACTCCCTCCGTCCCAAAACATAAGCAACACTCTATTATTTAAAAATTACCGGAATTTTTATTTAGTTTTGTATTTTCATTGATTATTTGATAGAATAAAATATTCTTGTCGATCACCACTTGTTTTGTAGAACTTTTGACGTAGTTTTTAAATATGTAAGTTTTATTTTTTTCATTTGTAAACCATTCTTTAAATAAAATGGATTAAAAAAATTCAAAAAATTACTTCGTTTAGCGTAATGTTGTTTATATTTTGGGACGGAGGGAGTATGAGTTTTTAGTTTGTGGTATACTCTCTTTGTTTATTCAAATCTTTTTTTATTTTTTGGTCAAATTTTTAAAAAATTGCCTACAAAATGTGAAAAAGACTACTCTGTTTCAATAATGCGTAAATTTTAAATTTTTGAGTTAGTTTAATTACTTAAAATAATATTTACTTAATTAACTAATTTGAAAATAAAATACTTTTTTTGTATTTTTTATTATTAACAAATTATAGGACAATTTTTTTTAATAAAAATGTCTGAAGTTAAACAAATCTACAAAATCACTTCATCCTTCCTAAAATGTTTTTCTCTGTTCATGAGATTTGACCGACTTTATTTTCAATCAAATTTATTTAATTGTAAGTATAAATTTAGAAATAAAATTTTTATATTTAAAAAGTACATCAAAAGTTTCACTAAATAAGAAGCGACAAGACTATATTATTTTATCAAATAACTAACGAAAATAGGTAAAGAAAATAATTAAAATTTAACTGTGTAAATAATAACTGGAAAGAACATTTTAAATACGAAGAAACAAGTATTCAAAAAAAAAAGAGGACCGCTCGACTTGTCCCTCTCTCGAGTCCAGACAAGCAGAACCTGCTACCGAATATCCAGTGGAATTAAAGCTACATTTGGAGGGGTTAACCAAATCTCCCCACCGTTTCGCCAAGCGGCGGCGAGTCTCTCACCCTTTCAAAAACTCACCAACTCTTGTATGGCATAAACCCTCATTATCTTCTTCTTCTTCTTCTTCTTCTTCATCCCATTTCTTCCTTATTAATAACTCCTATTCCACCTTCGAAAATAAAAATCGCATTCCATTTTCGAAGCATCATATGATCCGGTTTGAAATGGAAACCCTAACTCTGTCTCACCCTCCGCTCACCTCCGCCGGCGGCATTGCCGCCTGCCGCCGCAGCACTACCACCTCCAGATCCTCTGTTTCACTCTCCGCCTCATCGTCTGCCAACCGCTCCCGGGTTATCAAGTGCGCCGCAGTCTCGCCGCCTCCGTCTATGGGTACTGTTCAAATGCATTTTTTTATTGTATTCGTTTTAATTTTATGATCTGTCCGCCTGTTGATATGAACTGTTGGCGGCTGGGGCTTTTCAGTTTGTCAATGGGAGGAGTTCAAGGAAGCTGCGCTGCTCGGGAATTTGATTCCTCTCTTTACGTCGATTTTCTCTGATCATTTAACTCCTGTGCTTGCTTACCGCTGTTTGGTGAAAGAAGATGACAGGGATGCGCCCAGCTTCTTGTTTGAGTCCGTTGAACCTGGGGCTCTTAATGTTTCCTCGGTCGTATGTTTTATTTCCCTATAATCTCTTTTTTGATTATTCAAAATCCACTCGGATAACAGCAGACAAGATGAAGTTTCTAAGTTGCTTAAAAATGGAAAAACAAAAATTGAACCACAACATGGTGACTATTATGCTAGGGGAGGTACAGTGTCATTGGTGCTCAGCCGACTATGGAGATTGTTGCGAAAGAGAATATGGTGACTATTATGGACCACCACGAAGGAAAAAGGACAGAAGAATATGCAGAAGATCCAATGGAAATTCCCCGTAAGATTAGTGAAAAGTGGAGACCTCAACGCCTTGATGAGCTCCCTGAGGCATTTTGTGGTAAAACATTGCCTCTGTGCTTCTTTGCATGAATTTATGGTGCTAACTCATTTCATACAATTTTTTAACCCTAAACTTAATGTCACCTACCCTCACCTACTCCGGTAGTTGGGATTTAGGTGTTAATAATAATAATAATATGATGATGATGATGATGATATATCCATTACATTGTGTGTACTTAGAAGATTACTTGTATTTCGTGCCATATAATAGTGGAAACATAGTTAAGAGTTTAGCTTATAGTTAATACAAGACTTTATCTACACCTTACATCATGCCTGACTCCGGAGCTCGACTCTTTCCCCACGTGAACCATGGTATATTAGCATCTGACTGCCCTAAATGCCGGGCATGCCGCTGCAAATTGGCTCCGAACCTGGCAGCAGCAAAATTATTGTTTGTGGAGATTTACGGATATTTGACATTGTATTTCTTTTCTCATGCAGGTGGTTGGGTTGGCTTCTTCTCTTATGATACAGTTCGTTATGTTGAGAAGAAGAAACTTCCATTCCCAAAAGCCCCTTTTGATGATCGAGACCTTCCGGACCTTCATATAGGACTTTATGATGATATAATTGTTTTTGATAGTGTGGAAAAGGTGATATTCTGTTTCGTAAAGGTTTAATTTATTTCCACAGATATACTATTTATGATTTATATCTATCTTTTATGTTTTAATTCTAACAACTGTCTTTTTGGAGCTACAGTTTATCTTTTGAAATGGATGTCTTACTTAATCATGCTAATTTTTCCTGCTCGTATGTCCCCCATTTAAATTACCCTGCTAGATTTTTCAGTAAAATAGCTCAATACTTATTGATAATGAATTTTCAAGTACAGCATTTGTTCAAAAAATATCAACATTGCTAGATGAGTTGTTATTAAAGCTATTAGTATGTAATACTGTGTCTATTGTTTTTGAATCAGACAGCACATGTTATTCATTGGGTGCAGTTGGATCGCTTTTCCTCAGTTGAGGAGGCCTTTAATGATGGAATGAACAGATTAGAATCTCTAATGTCTAGGGTGCATGACATAGTGCCGTAAGTAGTTTTTTTTTTCCCTTTCAAAATCAAAAGGCCATGTTGTTTTTTCCATATGATTAAGAATATTTGCCATGCTATTTGCAGTCCTAGGCTGTCTGCGGGATCAGTCAACTTATGTACAAGCCTCTTTGGTTCACCATTGAAGAACTCAACAATGACAAGCAAAGAATATCAAGAGGCTGTTTTAAAAGCCAAGGACCACATACTTGCAGGGGACATTTTCCAAATAGTTCTTAGCCAAAGGTTTGAACGGAGAACATTTGCAGATCCATTTGAGGTATACAGGGCACTAAGAGTTGTAAATCCTAGCCCATATATGACCTACTTACAGGTTTGTAACTGTTGTCATATCTCATTGCCTTCGTATCTGTGTTTGTATATGTAGAAAGTATATTTACTTCTCAATTCTAATCATAATTTCTTATTATCAGGCTAGGGGGTGTATTTTAGTTGCTTCCAGTCCTGAGATTCTTACTAGAGTTAAAAAGGTAATCTGTATAGTTGATAGAAATAAAATGCACTTATTTTGCTTATTTCTGAGCTAAGCCAGTTAACTGATGGTGTGCTTCTTGAAATTTGTTTCCAGCTTTGTATAGCATCCCTGGTTTACTTTTCCTTTATTTCAGCTCACTTCAATAGCCTAATTTTTATATTATTGTTTTTAGGGGAAAATCACTAATCGGCCACTAGCAGGGACTGTGAGGAGAGGAAAGACTACTAAAGAAGACAAATTACTGGAAAAGAATCTTTTGAATGATCAAAAGCAGTGTGCAGAGCACATAATGCTGGTTGACTTGGGAAGAAACGACGTGGGAAAGGTTTTGTGCTTTTTTAATGCGTTTTTCTTCAATACATTTTTTGAGAAACATGAAGTATAAAGTCATTTCATAACAAAACGTTAGTTCCAAGATCATTCACATCAATTTAGTAAATGATGAAAACACATACTCATTACTCTCTATGAGCTCATTTCCTCCATGAAGATGAAAAATCTCTATGTTTTAATCATCAAAATGCACTGTGAATAGCATTGGACTCCTCTTGTATTCTTTGGTGTACATATTTCTTATTTTCCATGGTACTTCTGTTTACTAATTTCAATAAACATTTGGTTCTTTATGCGAATTTGTCTGAAGCTGACTGTTAAAAGATTCAGAATACCCAGGATCTTATTTATTTTGAAAAAAAGTAATTACTATTTCTCAGCGATAATGTTGCTTATTAATAAGGTTCTTGGAAAATGCCAAATGATTCTATTTTTCACGCTTTAATTTAATATGTGTGAAGTGACCTAATCAAACTAATTTTTTCCCTTGCTATTATCAGTTTCACTAATGTAACCTTTAAATTCAGGTTTCTAATTCTGGTTCTGTGAATGTTGAGAAACTCATGAACATTGAACGGTATTCTCATGTCATGCACATCAGCTCTACGGTTAGTCTTTCGTCATCCCAATATACATCTTATATGTAGAACCAAAGTCTTTACTCAATTAGTGATGTGATTCAAATTATAAATACGAATTGCTAAAAATGGGGAAAGTTCATCATGTGCCCCACTTCCTCTATTGTTTATTTCATTGAAAAAACATGTGGAAATTTGGTAAGGTTCTTATTAGATTTGGTCTGCTTTTTAGCTCTTATAAAATAGCACACTGTTTACCAAACTTTGCAGGTTACTGGAGATTTACATCACGATTTAAGTAGCTGGGATGCTCTGCGGGCTGCACTGCCAGTTGGAACTGTTAGTGGGGCACCAAAGGTTTCTTGATAGTCTTTATCTTTAGTATGTTTTATGGTTTCAAAGCACAAAACAGGTTACAGGGTTTCATTTAAATCACCCTTTATTTGGTTTTAGAAACATTCATGTATCCACACATAGACTGAGCCCTCAAACACGTTTCCCTCCAAAGCTCACCGAGACACTCCATCCAAACATACCCTTAAGGTATGATAGTATCCTTAAGAGTATGTTTGGATGGAGTGTTTTTGAGGCTCTGGAGAAGGCTTTGAAGAGCTTAATCCCTATATGTTGATAAATATAATCTTTGATAAGTGGAATGTTTCTTAAAACAAGGTAAAGGTGATTCAACTGTATACGATCACGTTTTATATTAGTCTTTCATCTACTAAAAAGATGGAATGAATATCAAGATATATACTCCAAATTCCAAACCCCTTAGCTTGTGGTTGTTCTAAAATAGGTAAAGGCCATGGAGTTAATTGACGAGCTAGAAGTAACAAGGCGTGGGCCATACAGCGGTGGGTTTGGGGGGATATCTTTTTCGGGTGATATGGACATTGCATTGGCTTTAAGGACCATAGTTTTCCCCACCGGGGTGCGCCACGACACAATGTACTCGTACAAGGATGCTAATACAAGACGAGATTGGGTGGGCCATATACAAGCCGGGGCAGGTATAGTTGCTGACAGCGATCCCGGCGAGGAGCAGAGAGAATGCGAGAACAAAGCTGCAGCCCTTGCACGAGCCATTGATCTCGCCGAGTCATCATTTGTTGAGAAATAGTAAGTTATCTTTGACTAATGCTCTATATAGGTGACCACTGCTGAGGTTTTTACCACTTAAATAGATAGTTGTTTGTTGTCTTTATACCTATATATATATATATATATATATATATATATATATATATATATATATATATATATATATATATATATAAAAACTAATGAATGCTTCTAGGGGATCTGGGAATGCAAAGCCTTACACGTTTTGTGTCTTATCTAAAGAGAGTTCATGCGTAGACAAAAGCTTGGTGGACTATTTAAATGCTAGTACTAAACTTTACAGTGCGCTAGAGAAGAGCAAAAGGACCGGACTGGTCTTTTGAAAAGATCACTATTATTATACAAGACTCCATTATTATTATGCTTCCTCCATTCTTGAAAACTCTTCTTTTGACTTTTTTTGTTAAACAATGACCCTTTGACTACAAATTGTTAGAAAAATATATTGAATTATAATATAAATTTAATATAATTGAGTTCATCTTAGGGTATAGTTTTGATGTATCAAACTTTTATAACACTTATTTTTGAGGTCAAAGATTATCACTGTTTGACCAGAAAAGTGAAAACAAAAAGAGTTTTCAGGGACGGAGAGAGTAGTAGACTAGACTAGTATTTTTTAAAAACCGGTCCTAACTGGTCTGGTCTTCATACTAAAAACAAAGATCTCTTGAGAGCATTGTCCCATGTGGTAGGGGTGTTCATTCGGTAAAACTATACCGAAGTGAAATTTCGGTAAAATTATTTTTGAACCGTATACCAAATCATAGTAAAATAATTTTATTAAAAAGTTATCAAAACACACAATTCTGATCCTGTAAAAGAAACTGAAATATAAAAAAGAAATCAAAATACGAAAAGTTAAAATGAAAAACTAAAAGTGCAATATAAAGAGTTGTTATATATATATATATATATATATATATATATATATATATATATATATACTGCACAAAAAGTGTTCTATCAAAATGTTTAAAAGGTCTTACCTTTAGCCATTGGTAATTTATCGCCCTACGAAGTGAGGTTAATGTATTGATCATTTAGAATAAATGAAACAAAAAATTGAAGAATAAAGAGTCAAATAGTAAGCATGAAAAAATGTAGCTAGATATGGAATATTTTTTCAAAGATTAAAACTTTGAATAAAAGGAAGGATGAGATAAGGTAGACGAATATATGTGTGGCTAAGACTCAAGGTTAAAATTCAAACTTTAAAACATTTAAAATAATAAAATAGAGTAATTATTCGGTACTCAGTAAAAATTGAATTACGAATTATTAAGCAAAACCAAACTGAAAACCGATTTTTAGAAAAAGGAAAAACCGAATATTGAATCAAATTATTTGGTTTGGTTTCGGTACGTACCAAAATTTTGGTTTCGCTACGGTTCGGTCAGTTTATCGAATTGTGTACACCCCTACATCTAGTTCTGTCTATAGTTTGATCTAGTCAGGCTCATAGTCTCAACGTTGGTGCAATGTGTTTTTTATTTTAAAAAACTAACTTATAGCGCAATAGTGATATATTTTGATTAGGTAGTTATACTGATGCTTAGTTATACACTATTTTAGGATATTATGACAATAAAATGACATCATGGCAAGATTGACATATCTAAGTTAGAGTTTTAAGAAGTATCTTAGTATAGTGAAGTATCTTGTTATTATCTCTTTTTAAGTTTTTCTAAAATTGGCAAGGATCTTTAGACACTGAACCTCAATATTATCTTATGAGATTAATCTATTTGTGGCCCTAAAGTGGTTCCTTTCCTCTCGTCCTGCTCTTCATTTTGTTGACTTGCAACGAGATGAAGAACATGCGTGAGGAATATTGTTGCCAATGAGCGAATTGAAAAGGGGGTGGGGGTTAAATGAGATAGGAATCATTTTTGAATCTTACTAAACACTATAGACGCCTGAAATAAACCAATGTCATCATACGACATTGGTGTTCAATGCCAAAATATCCTCATTGTTCTTAAACAAAGATATTATTTCCTCCTTTTCATTTTAAGTAGCATTTTGTTATTTACGGTGTTTGATTGAAGTTTTTTTTAAATGAATTCATATGAAAATTGGAGTAGAATTAAAAAACAAAATTTATATATTTAAAAACTATCTCCTTTGTCCTAATTTGTATTATTTGTTTCGGTTTACGATGTTGATTGAAGTTATTTTCAAAACAATTTATTAGAGAATTGGGACGTAATTAAGAAATAAATTTTATATATTTAAAAAATTACTTCCTCCATTGCTTGTTTATTATTCAGTAAATTTTATTTACTTTCTTTCTCTATTTTTGTTAGTCATTGGATTAGATAATATATTCATACCACTACTAGTTTAGTATATCTATTGATGCATTTTTAAATCTAAAATTTTTATTTTTCATTTCTACACTACTTTTCGTATGAAATAATTTGAAAATAATTTCAGTTAGACATCGTAAATTGAAACATGCAATTTAAAACAGGACGAAGTACATATAAAAATACTATGAAACAAAAGGTGACATAAGACTATTATTTTATCAAATAAGTAACAAAAATAAATAAATAAAGTAAATAAAATTTGATCTTTGTGAATAGTAAATATGTAACTAAATTTGGAACTGAGGGAGTACAACAAACGTTTTAGTCTCTCCATTAGTTTTAAGTTGTTTGTTGTTTACGATGTTTGACTAGTTTTAAACTGTCTGTTTGCCTTTTTTTTCGTCCTAAATTAAGTTGTCTGTTACTTGTTATCGTAAACTTTTATGAGTAAACTACCTAAACTACCCTTAAAATAAGTCATTCTTCTCCACTTTATCCTCTCATTCATCGTCACCTCTCCTAAAAAGTAATGGCAATTTTGGAAAATCAACTCTATTTTTTATTTTCCTTAAATATGTCCAAAAGTCAAAACAGGTGATTTAAAACGGGATGCAGGGAGTACAAATAAATTTAGAAATCATCCTAAATAGGACTAAAACATAGAGAAAAGTACCAAAATAGGACTTTCATGTTTTTTTTCCCGGAATAGGACTTTGCACTGTGGTAATGTGACTTTGCATTGTGGTAATGTGGCAGTGCACATGTGCAAATTACTATACTTTTTTGGTAATGTATATGACCATGTTTGGTAATGTAAGTCCTATTTTGGGAATAAAAACATGGAAGTTCTATTTTGGTATATTTTCAATGTTTTAGTCCTAGTTTGGTATTTCTAAATTTATATGTAAATTGGAGTAGAATATAAGAAATAAATTTTATAAATTTAAAACTGTATAAAAAAAGTGTACAAAACAAGAAGTGACATGACTATGTTTTTTATCATTTGAGTAACGAAAATGATTAAAGAAAGTGATTAAAGTTGATCTTGTGAATAGTAAAACTAGCAATTTAAATTTAGACGGAAGGAGTACAAAATAAGACGTGACATTACTACATTATTTTATCATATGAGTAACGAAAATAAGTAAAAAAAAGAGAGATATTTGAATTTGACCATATAAATTATAAATAAGTAACTTAAACGAGGATGGAGAATATAAGGAGTACAATTTAGAATTGTATTGGTATTATCAAAAAAGGATGAGTACCATCTTTAACAGCACTCAAACTCAGCTGAACGGTTAATGAAAAGAGGTAAATTAAAATTTTATTGTACATTGGTGGCATGAAATAGAACATGCACCTAATAGACATTCTTATATTTAACATAGTTGTCTCCCAGTGCATTTGTCATGAATTGAATCAAATTCGGATCTCCTCTTTAGTATTGCTTGCCTTTGGAAACTCCACAACACCACCTTTGCAGAACAAAGCAACGACTAGTGGATGATTTATTGTTGGAAAAATCACCTCAAATTTCTAGCGGAAGCAATTAATAATTTTCCCGTCTTTGTGTTGTCAAAATGGGCAAAGTCATATGACCGATCAAGAATAGTAAACACGACAACAAGCAATCAATCAAGTGATAAACGAACACCAAGATTTAACATGGAAACCCCAAATCGGGGAAAAAACCACAAAGCCTTCCACTAATCACCAAGAAAATGAGTGGGTACACCAAGAATCCTCTCTAAATCAATTAGAGGTACACACAATCATCAAGTAATAACTTGGAACACCAAACAACAATAATCTTCACTCAAAAGTGAGAAACCCTCAATAAAAACGCAGCAACAAACAGAGGTAGTTTTACCGACATCGAGAGGTCAAAACAACAATCCCACCGTTGGATATGAAGAAGAGGATGTCAGGAACAACATACTAAAATTTCATCCCGATCGAAGCTCGTTTGGACATCGATCGGAGCAAAAACCCAGACAAGAAGCCACAAAAGGCTACTACCTTTACAAGATAAGTGGCAGCCCCCACCACTTTGACTATTCCCTTTTTTCTTTTATAATAATAATAATACCAGTAATAATAATAATAATAATAAATATTACTACCTCCGTCCCAATTTATTTGCAACACTTCGAACCACGTGCAAAATATCAGCTCTTTTAAAATCACTTTAATTTCAAATTGGTAGAGTAATAAAAATTAAAAATTACACCATTTAAAAGTATATGAAAAGTTCTACAAAACAAGATGCGACAAGAATATTTTATTTTATCAAATGGTCAACCAAAACGAATAAACAAACAAAAGTTATCGAGATGCCGGAATAGTAACTGTGACAATCTTTCTGGGACGGAGGGAGTATTATTATTATATTATTATTTGTTTTTTGAGTTTTAAAAAACAAATCAACTTAATTTATTTTTTCTAAAAGCAGAGAGTGTGTTGTTGAAATTTGTTTATAGAAATAGTAATTTTTAGGTGACATGTTAACTTATTAGAAAAATAATAAGCAAAGTAAGAAATATTTTAATAATGTACGTTAAAAAAAATGTTAGAACTTTTTTAAATGAATGTATTATTTTTGTTAATGAAGAAATGATAAAATATCATCTACCCATTCCTTTGAGCCGCTTTCTGCTCATTCCCGTAACGTTGCTACCCGTTCCAATTTCCAACCAATAATCGCACTCTTTCTTTTGTGTAATTTCTTCACCGCCCACTATCTCTCTCCTTCACTTGTGCTTACGGCAGAAAGGAGTACTCTGCGCACTGTAATTTCATTCATCCTACGTACCACACATTCTTCATCTTGCCTTCTCTATCATTCAACCTCATTGCTAATCTTTTCTGCATATGAGCCCAAGCCTCCCCAAGCATTTCAACCTGGTTCGGTCCAAAACCGAATACTAAAGTGTTACCCATTTTGACTAAAGTTGAAATTAAGGGAGGGATAATTCTGTGTTGACTTTCCAAAAATACCCCTGATGTGATGTGTAGATTATTAGGAAAAAAGGTATGATGTGATAGGTAGGGTTTGAAAAAGTAAGGGGTAAAAATGGTTTTTTAATAGAAATGAGTAAGGGATTGTGAGACACAATTTTTTTGAAACGTGTAAATCTTTTTGGGACGGAGGGAGCATAATTTTTCTTCTCTCATTCTTGGATTGCATACATTAGTATATACTCCCTCCGTCCCATGAAACATGGGATGTTTTGCTTTTTGAAGAGATTTAATGGAGTGTATTTTGGTACTGAATTTTCAAAAATGTCCTTTGATGTGAAGGGTAAAAGTAAGATTTGATGGATAGATCATTAGTAAAAAGGTATGATGTGATAGGTAGGGTATGAAAAAGTAAGGGATAAAAGTGACTTTTCAATAGAAATGAGAAGTGTTTTATGGGGCGGATAAAAAAAGAAAAGAGAAATATTTTATGGGACTGAGGGAGTATTAAAAAAAACAAAGGGTTCATCGCGGCTCTTGCGCAATTAGGGCTATATCTGTGAAGAAGGATTGATGATAGATATTTTCCCAAAGTATAAACAGCTATTGAATAATTACAAAATGTTTAAAAGCAACAAGAGGTTAAACTCGTTAGTTCCATATCCCACTACCATCTTCCGCCCACCTCATCCTCACAGTGCACTACTTCATCGCCAACTTGATTCTCTTCTACATATCTGCTGCTAACGAGCTAATTCCTCTCTCTTATCTGCTGCTTTTGTTCTAAAGATTATCAAGCCTTCTTTTAGTTCTGTGTTTCTCTATTTTGAAGCCAGTTCGCGAGCAGCAGATGCGAAACCTAGGTCCAATCTCTATGCCGCTCTGCCGCGGTCCAGTTTCAACCACCGATGCAGTGTGCACAGAGACTCGGGCTCTGGTGGCACCGAGGTTATCACTGCCTTTAAGAAAATCAAGGGGAAGAACCCCATGACAATCTCAGCTATTTGCTTCTCCATTGCTAATAAAGGACACCTTAACCCCTTGAAATCTAGCATCTATGTTGAATCCACGCACAGTCCAGGTTCTTAACCTATCCTTATTATTTTAACAAAAGAAATTAATATCATTGCGTGTTGATTTGATCTCCTCTTTACATAAATTTGCTATCCTTAATTTGATGACTTGATGTAATACATGCTGCATGTAAAACAAATTGGAGGGACATATGATGATTCTTAATACACATATGCTATGCATCATATATGAGAAAACACACTTACCTCATTAACACATGTACTTTGAGTTTTCATGATTGTGTAGTTGGATTTCATTCTTATTATTGTAACAAAAAAAAAGAAAGGAAAATTACATTGTGAGCGGCAATTCTAGTATACTCTATATCTCAAATTAAGCTTCTTGATTTCCTATTCGATATAAGAAATGTTTTAGTAATGGACGTCAAAAAAATGTTAGAACTTTTTTGAAGTGAATGTATTATTTTTGTTAATGAAAAAATGACAAAATATCATATACTCCATATCTCAAATTAACCTTCTTGATTTCCTATTCGATATGTATCCAGACTACGTGGACATATTCAAAAGTATATTGTTCTGATATAACTTGAAGAGGAAAAAAATAACCAAATATTAAGAATCGGCCAGAAATGATGTTGAATTTTTTTCGTGTGTTCAAGCAGAGCACGTGGTGTAAAACTCGGTGCGAGATGTTACACCAAAAAAATTACAAATTGTTATGTACGCTTATTGCATCTTACATAACATGATTATCGGTGACAAAGGACATGTTATATGTGATTAATTACAATCCAAATGAGGTCAATGAGAATGTAGAACCAGATATTACAAAGCACGCATACACACTAAAATTTTAGTGTCGATTTGGTTGAGCATTTCTAGAATTTCGATATACCACTTGTGATGACGAATAATTTTTTTGTACGGTTTACACAATTGTACCTTTTTTGTTCTGCTTATTTTGTTGTTGCATTATGTCAGTATAAGTTTAATTTTAAAAATCTCCGTGAATAAGAGTAAAAACTATGAAAATATCAAAGAGTCTTACGTCTTTTAGGATCAAAATAGAAGTCTAATGGTTGTGTGATGTATGAATACACGTTGGGAGTGAGATGGAGAAATGTGGCTGTGTTTTATGGAAAAGTGATCAGTCAATCACCGGTGATCCGCAATTCCAACAACATTCTAGTGGGCGACGACGACAAATGACAGTGTGTCAATGATAGTGTGGCAATTGCAATGTTATAATGTGATGAATGTGGTAGTGTAAAAACGACATTTTGAATTCCTATTCTGGTATTAAACGACTTAAAACTCCTATCTTAGTATTTTCATCGTTTTTTACTCTTATCCATGGAGTTTTTCCTTTTAATTTTAATATTGATGAAATATTTATCTACTATTTTCATTTTAAGTAATTTTAACTCATAAGATAAATGAGAAAAAACATCCCTCCATCCTAAAAACAAGTCTTCCAGCTTAACTTGGCACAAAATTTAACAACATTGAAAATGTATAGTTCAAAATAATGCAGAAGAAAGAGAATAATTATGAACCACTCAGAGTCTTCCATAATTTTTTTGGGACACACAGAGTATAAGAGAAAAAAATAGAAAATGATTAACTTAATTCACAACTGCAAAAGGAACTGAGATATAGTGAGAAACAGAAAAACTGACATGATACTAAGTGACAGTAAGTGATGGGGTATGATCAACATCTTATGCCTAAGGCTCTATTCTCTTCTCGTCCTCTGATTTTTTAAAAGTATAATCCGATGGTTATTTACTTTAAAATGTTGTTGATCTAATCTAATGGAGTATCTAATTTCAATAAAAATAGGGAGTAATACAAAATGAAGAAAAATGCTAGAGTCACAAACATATACTTCACAAACTTTACAAACTTGTCTTTTGTAAATTTTAAATTAAAATATATTTTATTATTTGAGTACATCTTAATTAATAGAAAAATATTAACAAGACAAGTTTATAATTTTTGTAAAATGTTTGTTTGTGATTGTAACATTACTCCAAAATGAATAAAAATAAGGAAAAATTACCCAAAATAATCCCAACTTTACTCGGTCTTTCAAAAATAATCTCACCTTTCACTGTGATGCATAATAATCTCAACTTTAATGAAATTTGCCAGTTTTGGATCGCCGTCAAGTTTCTAACGGAGGGCTTGTTTTTTTAAAAAAATAAGTAGTACATTAAGATTCCGTATAGTGTGTAAAATGTTAAACTCACAACTCCATATATATTTATTTTATTTCTTACCAGTTTCTGTTTAATTTCTATTGATTACATTATTTATTTGATTAATTTTGTATGGTTTTAGTTAATTTTCTCATTTTCATTATTTTTTATATCTATTTTTTTCTAAGGTAAGAATAATCTTTAAAAAAGAAAAAGAAATGGAGGTTGAAATTAATTCAAAAAATTTAAATAAAAATTTCAAAAAAAAATTAAAAAACAAAAATTCATCAAAAATAATCTCAACTTTCATTTTGTTGCCTAAAACGGGCATTTCCGTTATCCCTCCGTTAGAAACTTAACGGCGACCCAAAACTGGTAAATTTCAGTAAAGTTGGGATTATTATGCATCACAGTGAAAGGTGAGATTATTTTTAAAAGAACGAGTAAAATTGGAATTATTTTGGGTAATTTTTCCTAAAAATAATAATTAAGCTATGTGGGGCTATGAGCCCCATCCGAGGGCCCTTTAGATCCGGCCCATTTAGAAAAAGTAAATGTGCGGACCACTGTTACTTGGATGGAATCCCATCATCGTCTTCTCCGAGTTTTCAATCAGTTAATCATTGCAGCGCACATTCCAGCAAACGCAGTGAGATGCTGACGTTGAAGAGATTCTGCCGATCGGTAGTGGGTATGGATCCTGACCCGTAGGAGTACGACGGGATCGAGTTCTGGTCCAACCCGGAGCGAGCAGGGTGGCTCACCAAGCAGGGCCTGCACATCAAGACCTGGCGCCGCCGTTGGTTTGTTCTCAAGCAGGGGAAGCTTCTCTGGTTCGAAGACGACCTTTCCGCCTCCAGGCGGGACGCCGTCCCTCGCGGCGTCGTCCCCGTGGCCAAGTGCCTCACCATCAAAGGCGCCGAGGACGTCCTCCAGAAGCCCCTGGCTTTCGAGCTCTCGATCGGAAACGATGAACCGATATATCTCATCGCCGATTCCGAGAAGGAGAAGGAGGAGTGGATCAATTCCATCGGGCGCTCCCTCGTTCAGCACTCCAGATCTGTCACCGATTCCGAGGTCGTTGATTACGACAGCCCGCGATAGGTTATTTTAACAAGGTAATGAAAATCATTATTTGTCTCCTTCAATCTAGTTTTCATCTCCTTGGGGTTTCTGATTTTGTCAAGTAACCAACTCAACCAAAAGCTCAAGCTTGTGGTTGTGGACTTATATACCCCTCACGTGCAGGCGTTACCTTTTTGAGTCTTGTACGTGAAACCTTAATTTTTTAAAACTGGGTGGCGGTGAGTTTTGAACTTATGACCTCTTAGTCATCAAGGCTCCGATACGGAACCAATTCAACCAAAAGCTCAAGCTTGTGGTTGTGGCCCAAGAATGATTGTTATAAACTCTAACAGATTTGCAGCTCCGCCATACAAATCTGTCCAGTTTGAAGCATTAATTCACTATTCTTCAAACTTGGCTAAGATAATTTGATTTTCCATATTAATTTTTTCTAGGTTTTTCTATATCGTTCTTGCTCAAAACCCATGCTATTGATCTTCATTTGCTTAGTACAGGTTTTGTTGAGAAATTAATCCTCTTCATTCTATGGTTGCGAGTGGATTAAACCTTACAATACCATTGTACTCATCAAATTGAATTATTCATCTTCAAACCACATTTCAACAAAAATTGAATATGATTACAATTGATTGCAACAATAGTCGATTACACGCACTCCGTGTAATCTAATTTTGTGTAGCTACCCCAAACAAATATCTTATTTTTCTACTTTCAAATCTTTACATTCACAATGTGTTCAGGAGTTTCTAATGCCGAAGAACTCCTTTATCAGTTTGTGTATAAAAGGGCCTTGCCATTCGTTAAACTTTGGCATTCATTCTATCAAGAACTCATTTATGAATGCTGAAGCTGAAGTTTGCAATATGATTTTCAGATAATCTGTGCCTAATGGACGAATGTGCAAAACGCATGAGATGTTGCTCCTTGGTGTGCCATGCTGACCCTTTGTGAGGTGGTCGTTGTTTGAGAAGTACGTCAATCTGTTCGTGCTAGCTTTCTTCATTGTTTTGCTGCCATCGTATCAAATCTGATGTGAAGGCTGGTGTAAGAATGTGTTTTGATCATCTAGAATAGGTCTTGTAGTTCAACTAATGAAGCAATTGTGCTCTTGTGAAAATGTATGTTGTGCCTACTTCCAACTTAAACTGAGAGGCCTTCACAGCTTGAATGGATCTAATAGAAAACAGATATACTCTCTCTGTCCCAATGTATTTGTTCAGCTGGACAAACTTTGAGTTTCAATTAAATAAAAACCGTAATGTATTTTAACATAAAAATAACTTTATTGGATTTATTGCATTGAGAATTTTCAAAATTGTATGTCATTATGCTAATATGCAATATAAATTGAGAGTAACATCTCTTTGATGGTGTATTCTCTCATAAAGTCATAATAACATGTTTTTTTTACTTAATTTTTACTTTCCTTAAGTTTTTTCTAGTTTTTCCAATTGTTTCCATTTTCTTTGAAGTTTTTCTACTCTTCAAAAAAGACTCTAAAAATCATGTACTCCTATTTTTCATGTTATTATTATTATTTTTTATTTTTAATAATGTTCATAACTATCGTTTATACATTATTTCATTTTTGCATATTGATTTTTTTCTATGCCACTATTTTTGTAATTCATACTCATTATTATTTTTCTTTCATTTTTTATATAAATAAACATTTTTTTGTTTATCAATTTATACGGCAGTAAATTCTATTCCAAAAATTAAAGATAAAAGAGTGGTATTTTTTGACTTCGGGAAAACATCAATATTTTAAATTAAAAACCACGAAGTAGTAATTATAGTATTTCCTCTCTTTCTAATTAAATGAGAGGTACACTACTCATATTAGAGATGAGCAAAAGGGCCGATGCGGTCAGACTAGACCGGTCTTTGGAAAAGACTGCTACAGTAAAAGACTAGACCAGACTAATCTTTTTAAAAACCCGGTCCTAACTAGTCCGGTCTTCTTATCAAAATCAAAGACCAAATAAGACCACTAGTCCAATCTAGTCCGGTCGGTAGTTCAATCTGGTCCGGTCTCTAGTCCCAACATATTGGGTCAAGATTGTAGTTTTGCGATGTTGTGTCAGGGTTACCAAATAGTCCATCAACTTTTTTTGCATCGGTCGAGATTGCATGTTGCATTTCGCTCGCTCAATCGCTGATTCTATGAGGACATCTTTGAGGACTAGCTCTACTGCTCTAAGACAGAGTGTTGTGACGCTTGAGTTTATCTTGAAACTCTAAGAAAATACTTAGGAGATAGGGGAAGTCGAGAAGTATTAATCATTTCTAATTTGTATTACCCTATATTATTTTTTTAATATTTTTATACGTACTACTCCATATATACTACTCCCTATATACTCCGTAATTTACAAGTAAAATATAATTAGACTATAGAGGACTAGTTTTTTGGAGTAGTCATAGTTTTTAGACCAATCTTTTACTAGTCTCGGACCGTTTCAGGTCTTTAACATGTCTTTTATTAGTCTTAGACTAGTACTAGTCCTCTATAAATATTAAGGAACATTTGAGACTACTGGTCTTGGACTAGACTAGTCTCAAGGACTACTTCGGTCCCAATCTTTCATGTCCAAATCCTAGTCGGTCTCGGTCAATCTTTTCGGTCCTAGTCTTTATGCTCTTCTCTAACTCATATAGTCAAATTTTATTTATTTTATTTATCAATTTTTGTGAGTCATTTGATAAAATAATACTCTCTCCGTCCTATATTTAATTTCCCTGACCGGTACTCATTTTTAAGGAAATGTAAAATTTACTTTGACTTTCCATATATGCCCCTACCTTTTGCACTTTTGTTGTATTCCATTTAAAAATAAAGAAATAAAAAACTAATTATCCTTCAGATCTACCGTGCTCCCTCCATCTCCATCCTCCTCCACCATTAACATCATCATCACCTGGATTTCAATAAAGTTCACCCCTGACCATTGCTGCTTCATCGCCATTTTCAAAAAGCAGATTTGAATCTCCTTCACAGATCTGATTGCGGAGTCACAATTACAGAGGCTTGCTTCCGTGAGATCTCAAAAATGAAAGGAAAACGAAATCTCTTAAAAAAGAAAAGGAAATTGAAATAAAGAAGGAAATTGAGATCGAAAAGAAACTTGAGTTCTAAATCAAAAGAAAAAGAAATAGATTATGAAATTACCCATGTGCAAACCCTCTTTAATTGCTAGAGTTGTTGCCCATGAAAACGAATGAGAACGTGTACTATGAACCTGTTATTCTTGTAGCCCATATGACAAAATGGAGATGGAAACGAGATACTCCGTATAAGGATCTTTGTTGAAAAAGAAAAGATAAGTTGTGGGGGGTATTGTTGTCATTCAATACAAAAAAGGTTGCCATTTAAGGAGATGAGAAGTTAATTTTAGGACAGTCCAAAAAGGAAAGTGAGAAGTTAATTTTAGGACGAATGAAGTATTATCCTGTCACGACTAGTTTTGTATAGTTTTTGGTATAGTTCTTAAATGTAAATTTTATTTTTTTAATTCTGCCCAATTGTCTTATATATTGAACGAAAAATAGTTTCAGTCAAAAATTTTAAACTAAAAAAACATATAAAAAGCGACGAATGGAGTACTATATATTATGAGAAAGAAAACATGACCCCAAAAATTGTGTTAAAAACAAATTTAGATAATAAGGAATATAATTAATAATTAAAATAGAACTAATAAAAAATACTTTATTTTATTAGATTTAAATTTTATTGTTTGTAATATTGATATGTACTCCCTCCGTCCCAAAAAGTCTGTCTCGTTTCAAAAAAATTGTGTTTCTTAAAGTCTGTCCCGTTTCTATAAAAAATTATTTTTACCCCTTACTTTTTCATACCCCTTACATATCATATCATACCTTTTTACTAATAATCTATTCATCACATCCTATTTTTATCTATCACATTAAAGGTATTTTTAGAAAATCAACACCAAAATATACATCCTTATTTTACCACTTTAGTCAAAATGTTTCAATCTTTTTGGAACGGAGGGAGTACTATATTGCGCGTATAAACATCATATAAAAGTTACATATCGTATCTCCAATTCAACTAATTAAACTCAACTACACTAAAATTAATATTAATAATAATGATAACACCACGATTTTTTACCTTGGTTTTCAAGGTCATATTATGACCCCGGCCTCTATGGTATTTCGTTGGTAAATTTGATAGTTTTTACTATACCCTCCTAACTCACCCACCACTAAAATCACCCCCCTGCATGCCATCCAGTTCAAGTGTCTTATGATCCAATGCAACAAACCCTTACCCCCTAACATTTGAGTTGAACAAAATAATCCATTTGATTCAATCTTTTAATGTAGTTCAGTTCAGATGTCTTATGGTCATTTCCAGCAAAATTCTACCCTATCCTAAATTCTATCATTAACTGATTCTAAGAAGAAAAAAATAATACTCATTTCATAAGTAATAAGAATACGTTGAATAGAAAAGAGTTCTACCTAGAAAATACACTTTGGGTAATCCATATTTCATTAAAAAAGAGCATATTTTTAAAAAACCGGACAAGACAGGCCGGTTCAGACCGGGAACCGGCGAACCGGAGGTCGAGCCGGTCCGGTCCGGCGCTTTGGACCGCTTCGCGCATGAACCAGTTCGAACCTACTAATTAGTGCAGTAGTAGTAGTTGGGAAAAAGTGTTACATTGATTACTGATTAGTTGGAACTTAGCTGAGCTCATGTAATGCGTCTAACCTTATGGCCTCATTTTCTAATGATAAGTACAATTAGTTACTCCGTATTTAGTGTCCATAATGATTTCCCTTCACGCCTTTCACCTGTACCCACTATTGCCTATTGTATATTGATTGTATTCACATCTCTCAATCGTCTTCTTCTCCACGACAATGGCATTTCTCCCCCGGCACAACTCCGCCACCCATCGCCACCCCTCCTTCCTCCCCCGCTATCTCATTCTCTCCGCTTTCGTCTCCCTCGCCATTCTCCTCCTCTTCGAGGTAATTTTAGTCAATCATTCATTCCATCGGTCGATCTAATGAAATCTGATTATGATGTGCATTTAATCGTTGATCGGCGATGAATCAGGTGGACAGCCTCGTGTCGAAGACGAAGACGATCGTGGGCCACAACTTGGAGCCGACGCCGTGGCACGTTTTCCCGGCGAAGGAATTCGACGACGAGTCTACCTACTCCCGGGCCTCGAAGATCATCCAATGCTCCTACCTAACCTGCAGCCGCGCCGCCGATTCGGCTCCCGGAGGCGGCGGAGCCAGCGATCCGCCGCCGGCGTGCCCCGATTTCTACAGGTACATTTACTACGACCTGGCGCCGTGGGCGAAGACCGGGATTTCCCGCGCTCACGTGGCGGAGGCGCAGAAGCTCGCGGCGTTCCGGGTCGTGATCTCGCGGGGGAGGCTCTATGTGGACTTCTACTTTGCTTGCGTGCAGAGCCGGGCGATGTTCACCGTCTGGGGATTCCTCCAGCTGCTCCGGCGGTACCCCGGGAAGGTTCCCGACGTGGATTTGATGTTCGATTGTATGGACAAGCCGACGGTTAACCGGACGGAGAACGCCGCCATGCCGCTGCCGCTCTTCCGATACTGCACCACATCTCAACATTTTGACATTCCTTTCCCGGATTGGTCTTTCTGGGGCTGGTAATTAATCTTCCAATCAAGGAAAACACACAGAAATCTGCATATAATGTGATTTTTGGATGAATGTTGGTCATGAAATCTCCCAATTTCCAGTTTATCAAAACTCAAAATGCATTAATTAATTAGGTGATTTTAAATGGAAATTAACCAGAGTTCTAAATGTGTATATACAGGTCAGAGATTAACATAGCGCCATGGGATGAGGAGTTTAACAGCATTAAACAGGGATCGAAAACTCGGAGTTGGGCAAGAAAATGGCCGGTTGCTTACTGGAAAGGAAATCCAGACGTTTTTTCACCCGTTCGCACAGAGCTTTTGCAGTGTAATGACACTAGAATGTGGAGAGCCCAGATCTTTCGGCAGGTTATATTTCCTCAAAATCTCTGTTTTTATGATCCCAATGCTCTTCATTGTCCCAAAAAAAACGTTGCCACTTTCTTTTTTGTTCGATAAAATTCATTCTATGTTGTGGGAGATGTATATTCTTTATTGATAATAGCTCCCTTATATAGGGAAAAACGGCCTAAGGTTTTACAAGAGAAGACCCACGGGCCAGTACAACTGTATTACACAATATAAAGTAAATTCTATCTACACAACAGCACACTAATTTACAAATTCCTTCAACACTCCCCCTTGTGCTAAGCTGTAGGTAGAATTGCAGAATCTTGATCTCTTGTCAAAATCTCGTCAAGTATCAAAACCCTGTGAATAAAAATCTTGAACGAAGAAAAGAATACCGATCCTTACTTCGATCGCTATGTTCATGCATATTGTTACCTCATTAAAAACCTTACCAAGTAACAAAACCCAATGGGAAAAATAAACCTTGGTTTAAGGAAAAGAGTGTAACATAAAATAAAAGCTAGACCTTTGAATATTCAAATCTCCCCCTGAAGTGTACATGATCAAGGAAGATCCGAAAGTCTACGCATCCCAATATTTTTAACATGTTTCTCAAATGTGGCTTTAGGTAATGATTTGGTGAATAAATCTGCCACATTCTCCTCAGATCTTATTTGATTTACTTGGATCTTGAGGAGAGTTTGTTGTTGTTGATTATAGAAAAATTTGGGAGAAATATGTTTGGTGTTATCACCTTTGATAAATCCAAGTTTCATTTGCTCGATGCAAGCGGCATTATCCTCATAAATGCATGTGGGTTCTTCAGTGGTTGGTCTCAAACCACTAGCCCCGCGAATGTGTGTAATGATAGTTCTTAACCATATAC